AAAGGAAGTATATGGAAAGAATATAGAACTATTAAGATCTTGTTTAGATATATATAGAAGAATATATATAATAAGTAGAAAGTCAACAACTTATATTAAAGGATGGATCTCCTAAGATATTTGTATGAGTGAGTCTTACATCTATATGAATATGTATACCGATTTTATATGTTCTCTCTTTCTCACTCTTTCTCTCTCTCTCAATTCGTCCCTCTCTCTCTCTCTCTCTCTCTCTCTCTCTCTGTCTCTGTTCTCATGAACTCTTTTGCCATTTACAAGGTAAATTAGCAGCTCCACAATGGGAATGCACAGCATATGCAACAATTAAACAATTCATTTATCTTAATTTGTCTGCAATTTCTCTTCAATTCTTTGCCTCGCTCTCGCTGTCTCGCTCGCTCGCACGCCTGGCATCTCTCTCGCACGTCGTTTCGCTTTGCCCAGCTGTCTGCGACGGCGCATTGTGAGATGTTAAAAAATTTGAAATTAATTGCAGCGCCTGCTGCTCCTCAGATCTGAGCCTCTGCCCCTGCTTCTGCCCCTGCCTCTGCCCCTGCTCCTGCTCCTGCTCCTGCCGTGACTTGTGGGACCCGGTTCTGACCTGGCCTTTGACGCCCTTGCCGATGCGTTGGCCGCTTGGTGTTTTCATATTTTGTGCTGTGTCATAATCTTCACACCCGAATCGCAAGGATCTCATGCAGCCAAGAGAGATCACCCTGCACGCTGGCGTTGATGATCTTTGGCTGTAATCTTTTTTAAATTTAAGCCAATTCGGCGTAAACCGTTAACGGCACACCGCAGGCGTTGCCCATTTGTTCAGAGCCCGTTGTCCGCGGCCCATTGCCCATTGCTCACGGCCCATGGCAACTCATTGCCCATTGCTTATGGTCCAATGGCCATTGGTCATTGGCCATAGCCGAAGTATTGGCGATGCTATCGCCTTTGGTCGTTGCGCTGTGTTAATATTTGCTCATGATGATCGGCTTTTAAGGATGGTCTGGATGGTCTCCGATGGTCCGGGCTGCGAGGGCATGGCCCGGGTGTTGCCGCTGTCTGAGTTAACGCTGAGAAAACCCTAATTACCGCATTAAGGTGTCAAAATGATGACCATCTCTCCAGACTCTTTGCCATTCTGTTCTCAGCTCCGTCAGCTCTGACTGCGCCGACTGCTCCGACTGCCCTGACTGCTCCGTCTGCCCGCTCCTCCTTCCAACAACAATGTGGCAAATTTAATGAATATGTCAAGTAGTCAGCGCTCAACGTTCAGCGCTCTGTGGGCCAGTGATAAATCGGCTGGCGGCTTAGAATGCTGGGAAACATTGGCAAACGGCAGCAGCTCTGAGGTAGCATCACAGATCTCTTCATCTGCTTCTTCTTCTTCTTGCCGCACAGATCTCTTCTTCTTGACAGTGAAGCGTGGCTCACACTCTCTGTATGGCCAAGAATGAATACGCTCAGCTGCATTTTGTATTCAGAAATGATGAAAGATCACAGAAAAGTTTACACATTTAAATATGGGAATTACACAACACTATAAAAAGCAAGATCTTGCCCAAAATATATAATATAATATAATATAAAATATAAATATATATACAAAGACCTCATACAACCCATGGCCTATAGTTGTACTTATTTAAGTAATTCAGTTTGTAATATTTTCTCCATTTGATTAACAGGAAACGCTAACTGAATATCAACAGATCTTGAGTTGCTCTATATATAAAGTACATCTATAATGGCTAGTGGGCTGGGCAAGTGCAACACTTTTTGGCCACTTTCCAATAAACTCTTACGGAACGTTTAGTGCAGGCCAAGCCTCAAATAAAGACAACAGGTCATTTCCCATACCCCATGCCGATGCCCATGTCCATCTCCATGCCCATGCCCATGTCCATGCCCATTCCCATTCTCAGTCCCATTCGACCGGAACGTGCATGGCCAAAGCGATTGAGGAGTGAGCTGCAAGTGAGCCCAAGCCCAAAAACGAACCGATCAAGCAGACCAGGTCTGAACCTTTTTCCCTTTTGCCACATTCTCCTCTCTGTCTTTCTCTCTGTCTCTGTCTCTGTCACTCTCGCTGCCTTGTTTTTTGCGCCTGGACCTGCAGTCGAAATGGGTTCCAGTCGCAGGTCTTGGGCTCGCTCGGTTTTAGTTTGAGTTTGAGTTTGCGTTTGCGTTTGAGTTTGAGGTCCAGGTCCAATCGCCAGGTCCGTCGGTCGTTCGTTCCATTTTAATAACATTAATTAAGGTGTTGCCTTCGTTGGTGTTCTTCACGCCTTTCCTTACAAATTACGCAGGAATTTCATGTTTCAGGTTTTGTTCTCCGGTAGACGTCGCTCGAGCGGTCTTAATAGTTGTTCTTTTAGCGCCCCGTCTGCACATCTTCTCATCTCTCACTGCCTCTCTCTATCTATCTCTTTCACTTGCTCTTGTTTGAGCTGCTCGTTCACTGGACTTTGACTGCAATTTGGCTAAAAATTACTTGCAGTGATCAGCGTCTCTGATATCGGGCATAGGTAGTGCTTCGACGTATCGATGCAGTAGGTGTGTAGGAGCTTAAAAATTGAGCCATTATGGGAAAGTTTTCGGTTTGCTTGGCTAAGCCTGGTTGCATCTGGCGCCATTTAAAGCGCCACTTGAAACAGACAAAGCCGCCGAAAAGAACTTTGATCTAGAAGTGGAATAAAAATGCATTTTTTATTAACATAAAATGCGCATTTATAAGCCAGCTGAGCAGCTGAGCGGAAGAACAGAAGTGAACAAGAGCTGAAGATGGGCCCACCGGCCAAGGTCAGATTGGGGTCAATGGCATAGGCACTAGGTGAGTATATGAAAGACAGATAAAAAAAGAGAGAGAGAGAGAGGGAGAGAGATGAGAATGTGATTTTCAGAGCGCCAGCGCCAGGGCCAGCGCCAGTTTAGTTTGTTAGATGGATGACTAATAAGCGTCGCCACAATTAATTGAAACCCACTGATACGCATCTACCGAATGGCTCCAGATACAAGCAAATCTCATTAACGCGCCCAAGATAAAGCCACTGAATCTGTATAGCGGAGCGGGGACCCCAGGCGACACGAGTATCTCACCATACATTTTGTTCAGTCAAGTGTACGATGGCCATGCGATGCGATGGCGATGCGATGCGATGCCATCCGATGCGATGCCATCCGATGCGATCCGATCGGTCGATCGACCAGGCCGCAAAGCCAGACGCGACTCGGCCTGGAACTGATCCCATTCGAGCCTTATAAATGCATGCAGATACAGTTTTGGAAGTCAAGCGGTTTGCATTTGTACGATAAATAAAATGAATGCGATTGTTAATTAGTTGTTGCTGTAGAGCCAAAGAGGCTGTTGCTGCTGCTGCTTCTGCTGCTGTATCTTATCGCTGGCATGGGCTTGTTTTTCTCCGAGATTGACCTGGCCCAGTCAGTAGGCAAATGGAATGGAATTCGGGCATGTTGGGCATCTTTTGGCTCCGCGTTGTTCGAATATCAGACTTTAAGCCAGCTTTGGACCGCGGATGCTAAGCCGAGATTATCGACTCGAAATAGTTGAGCTGCAGTTCTTGGCCGATTGAGTGTCGAGTGGGCTTAGCTTAAATATGCTCCAAATGGAACTCACTTATAACAGCTGCTAATTAAAAAGTATATAAATATGTAAAAGATATTAGTATATGCAAGGGTATTATGTCTAAGATGGGATATAATTTCATAAGATTTTCGCAATAATAATATAAAAATATATTTTAATATATTTTCGCTTTCAAAGCTTATATAGAAATTATGTTAATATGCAGTAATTATATTGAAATAAAATTGTTTAAAAATAATACAACAATTTTTATATAATAAACATATTAGTAAAAAATTAAAAAAATTAAAATAATATCTCTAAGATTATAATTATAAAAATAAAAAAATAAAATAAACAATTTCATATATATACATATGAGAAAATATTAGTTTACATATTAACTAATAATTGCTAAAAACGTAAAAATTCTCTTCACTGAATTACTCATAAATAAACAAATAAATTCGACTTGAAGCAGCTCAGCTTAACTCAGCTCAACTTAATCCTCATCCCAATCACTTTTTCATTGATTTCGTTGCTGGATTTAATTACATGCATTAGACGACATCTATTTGATTTTTGAAATTATGCATTCAAATCAATGAACGAACAATCGGACGATAATTTATGCGCGAAGGCAAATCAATTTTCAGTTTTTTGTTCGGATGCGATTTTTGTTTTGTTGCTGTTTAGGCAAATCTCTGTAGATTTTAATCTCGTGTCGACAACAATAAAATTGTGTTAATTTATGGGAGAGCCATTGGTCTGGCTCAGAGATACAGAGATATAGATGTAGATATGCGCTACTGTTAGTTGACAATTCGTTTGTGAATGGCTACAGATACAGCTACAGCTACAGATACAGCTTCAGATACAGATACAGATACAGATACAGCAATAGCTAAAGCTATTCGAAGCTGAACTTGTTTTTCAATCGGTTTGTGCTGTTGTCTTCATTAAATTACGTTTAATCATTTATGCAGATTTCAATCAATGGGCAAAGCGATTTCAGATACATTTCCGTTTAGCATAAAGCCAAAGTTTATTTCATTTTACCTGCTTTGATATTCAATTTGTTGCAATTAATTGAAATCTACTAAGCTGACTGCTCCAACTGCTCAACAAATAGAAATGAGACGAGTCTCAATAACAGAGACGTTTCAATAAAATATAATCTTAAGAAAGTGGAATATCTAGAAAGGTTAGAGTGTTTAATATACATATGCATATACGAGAAGCAGAGCTGAGAATTAGACAAAAAGATTTATCACTATATAGTTAAAGTTGATTTGAAATATATTCTAATAAATTTGAGTAACTTCAAATTGTAGTCTACATTTTCTTTTCTTCTCTGTAACTAAAAAAATACTAAAGTCAACATTTGATGTATTATAATATAATATAAGCTCCAATAATTTGCTTTGTTTTTCTTGCATGTTCTTTATTACGACTATTTACAGGCTTACATGGTTCATACTATTGAGGATATATATAAGTAGTATTTACAGCTAGTTTGGCCTAGAGCCTGGCTAAAATAAAATTGTGTGTTTTTCTTTGTTTCACCTACTCTCTAGTGTTAGTTAATACTTAAATGTGGACTGCAGCAAAACATGGTGTGTTTCAAACTGTTGTTTATCACGCGAAATGGAAAGCTTTCAAATGTGTTCATGACTATGCCGAAACTGAAACCCCAAAAATCAAATACCCGTACCCCCCCCCAGCCACGGCCGCATCTAGAGACAGGTGTTAACCTCACGGTGCTCCAGGCACTTCTCGCACGTCACCTCGCAGCACCATTTGAAGACGCAGTTGCAGTTGGTCCACTCGGTAACGACGCGATGCTTGTGGCCCCGACTGCAGCAGAGCTGATCGCAGCTGTCGGGGCCCGTCGAGGTGGCATTGCACTCCCTGTCCTGGGTGCCCAGCGCTCCGGTCTTCGGGTTCGCTGTGCAAAAGTCGGGCGAGTCGTCGGCATAGACCAGCTGGTATTTGTTCGCCGGCTTCGTGTGCGGCGTCTCGGGCATAAAGCTGTTGCCATCGTTCCGTAGCGCCACCTTGCGCGCCCCATCGTACCTATCGCGCAGTCGTGCCGATATCTCACGAAACGGCGGCATCTTCAGCCAACAGGTTTTCACCGTGCACGACCCGGACAGTCCATGGCATTTGCACTCCAAGCGCATCGCATCGCGTATCGCCTGCCAAAGTTCATGAAGAGAAGGTGGATAGAAAGTTTAGAGACTTTTCAATATCAATTAATGAGAACGCTTCTCACTTTTATGTAATAAAATTTTGAATGAAATACGTTTACCGTCAACAGAAGTATTCCCCAAAGAACCTTTTATATATGATTGCCTTTGTCCCATGAAAATTTCTATATTTACATTTCATATATCTCTTTACTTCATCATCTCAATATCATGATAATTTTTTTGTTCTATAGACACAAAATCACTTAGAGCTTTTGAATCAGATCAGAGAGTATCCTAGTTATACTAAAGCTAGATACACTCAGTTTTTATACCTTCTCTCTAAGACAATAAATAGCACTGGCTTCATGAGTTGATAAGTTTCTTCGTCAAGCTCTGCTTACCAGTCTGCCCGCATTGTTGTTGTGCAGCTTGACCAGTGTGCCCAGATCGCTGCGTCGCTGCCGCTGCTTGGCGTCGAGGAAGGCGCGCGAGTGCCGCAGCCCGAAGTTCACATTGTCGCTGCAGCCGCCCCACTCCCACTCGCCCTGCGGGAACTTGATGTTGTCCCAGAACTTGCGGCGCCCCCGCCTGCCGCCCGGCCGATGCCCGTTGCGTTGTCTGTCCAGCGAATAATCCGTTATGCTGCTGCTGCTGCTGTTTCTGTGGCTGCGCTGTGGCAGCTGAAGCTGCTGTTGGCGCAGCATTGCCGCCTGCTGCTGCCGCTCGAGCGCTGCCTCCGCCGTTGCTGCGTTCACCATTTGGGGCTGGCCGCCATTGCGGCGCATGTGCGACTTGTCGCAGGAGCACTCCACCAGCTGGCCCATGGTGCAGGCCTTGGTCACTGCATAGGTAACGCCTGCCGCTGTTATGGCATTCACAAAGCCCGTCTCCCGGGAATCTGTGCGGAGATGATAGCAAAGGTTAGTCAAAGGGCAGTTTGATGAGGTCTATAATGACTAGGGAGATATCTTAAAAACAAAAACAAAATTTCATTATATTAAATTTGTATAATACATAAGTTTCATACGATTTTTAAAAAATTGTTGTTGTTGTTGTTTGTTAAATATATATGCTATGAATATGTTGCCTTACAGCTAACCTCATTAGCAAACGCCCCAACCCGTCTGGTCTAGACCCAGCACCTAGTTAAGCCAACTGGATGCATGTGTTTGGCATGGCTATCGGCGGCTTTAATTGGCATTTAATTGATTTAAGCGCTGTTTTAAGCGACGATTAACGTAGCGGTGTCAGAGATCGATAATTAATCGTTTATTTAGACACGCTGCTAATGCTGATTAGGGCTGTCCGCTAGCGGGTCGTCGCATGATTGATGTCAATTTGTCAGCTCTGGTGACAAAATGATTTATTGCCCGCCTCGATAACCGATCGCTGATTGCTCTCTATGCAAATGAGTCGAGCTAAGCTGAGTCGCTGTCATCGGCTGCATTGCATTGCAGTCACGTTTAATGAAATCGAAAACGCGATCACAGTTGTAATCGCACCACATCGACCAACGATTTGCATATGTAATGCGAGCGCTGTGGAGTGAGTGAAGTGGATCGGCGTGAGTGGATCGGAGTGGATCGGAGCGATGTGGACAGGTGATATGTCTTTTCGGACAGTCACCACCCCAAATGGGCAACGGCATTACATGGTCAGCAGCAGTGAGAGAGAGAGAGGAGGAGAGAGAGACGGCGAGGCTTCCTTCTTGCTGGCTGACAGCTTGACAGGGACGCAGTTTTAATCCGCTGCCATGGAATTTATTGCAGATAATTTGGTATGTGTTTTGTTTGCGCATTGTTGTCATTAAGTGCAGCAGCAGCCGGAGCCGCTGGAGCCGCTGGAGCCAGGAGCAAGGAGCAGGGTGCCTTTTGAGCATTTCGGGCAATAATTTATTAAAATTGACAGCTTTGTAGGCTCCTTTCAGGCGCTATTCATCAGCGGGCGCAACATTTTTATTATGCAACTTGATGGATGATGCGGTCGCCGGTCGCCTGACAGTTCGCCAGCCTCGGAGTCGAGCTCAGGCTTTGGCTGTAATTAGGCAGCAAGTCTTTCGCTTGCCCTGGCCCCAACTGCACTCTGAGTCAGCAAGTGTTGACAGGCCGTCTGACGGTCCGTCTGTCCGACTGTCCGACTGTTTGCCCTTTTTGTCGCCCAGCATCGCCATCTGCATCTCCATCTGCATCTGTAACTAGTGGCTAGCATTTAGTCTGTCCACTTACCGCGCATCAAGATCTTCCTCATGCTCTTGCGCAGCACCGTGCAGTTCCAGCGACGATTGCGAAACTGAAACTCGCATTCGCGGAAGCCCAGGTTGATCCCATTGATGATCTCCTTGAGCAGCGCCGAGTCGTGCCGGCAGATGTCAGCCAGCTTGCCGCGCAGACGTCGAGACTTTTTGCACATTAGATTTGGATCGAGTAAAATGTTGGTGCCCTCGGCCCTGGAATATGCAAAAGAAAAGTGAAATATATATTACAACACGCCTGCAATAGCAATAACAAAAAAATATATGAGCAATGAGCACTTGTTAAAGCAATTAAGTGGATAATGCATTAGCGAGTAAATTTATATTTGTTTTCGCTTTTCATGCAGCTAATTGGAAACCCAAAAATCTGGCACTCAATACTCTCTATTTAGGCTCTATATGAATTTTCGCCGGGGCGCTGCGTGTGGCGCCACGAGATGGCAAATAGTCGCTGCTCGCATCATTCAGCAGGCAAGTTCATTAAAAATAGTTGCGCTTATTTATGCTGGCAGCTAAAAAGTTTCGTTTATTTGCCCAGAATAAGGAAAACACGGCGTCTAAATAGTGCGGCAGTTGAACTAAATAGCAGCGGTCGATGCGGCCGATGCGGCGTATGCGCAATGTGGCGCAGCACACACCAAAACACGCATGCACTTCCCACACACACACACACACACACACACACACACAGAGACAGAGGCACAGTCACACAGTTGGCAATTGGTTTGTTTATTGTTATAAGCGAAGCGGCGGCGCTCAATAAAATTCTGGCCCCACTCACACACACAATAGAAAAGCAAACACACGCACACACACTCACACGCACTCACACTCAACCCACATGATTTTCCCCCGTCAATTTTCTCAATCGATGCAATTTTCGTTTTCATTTTGAATGCCATTTGGAGCAGCAGCGTTAAAATTTAATTTAGCTGGAAAATTAATAATTACGTGCAGCGTACAATGTGGGTGCAGCAGCCACTGTCGTTGCTGCAGGGCTGCCACTGCGGCTGCCACTGCCCACAGGCTCGAGTGTTGCACCACCCGCAACTGCCGCCCAGCCCCATCTCGCCCCCGATTCACCTTCGGCGTTTAAATTGTTTTTGTGTGCGCGCCTTTGGCGCTGATTTATGTTTTTCCATTTCAGATTTATGACTTTTTAATAGCTCAATTGTTTTTTCGTTCGCTGCTGCTGCTGCTGCTGCTAATGTTGTTGTTGTTGTTGTTGCATATTCGCGTGAAATTTGCTTTGCTCGTGAACTTTGCGCAATTTAAGCTGCAAGTTTATGTTTTTAGCGGGGAGTCGGGCTAACCGAATGCCTCAGCCAGCTACTGGGAGACGGAATCGAGTCTGTGATTGATGTGTGGCCATCTGCCTCCCTCTTGCTCTCTCACAACCTATCTCTCTGCTGTTGTTTCCAGAAATTTGCGTTATTTTTAACAATTATTGTGTCAGCAACTGACTCAGCCCCGCCGAATCGGCAACTTCAAAATGAGCTAGACCCTCCACAGCCCAGTTATCCCAGTTATTCATTGATGACAAACAGCTGATATGGCCGCAGAGCCAAGCCCTTGCGACCTATCACACATATTTCACCATTTGGCTTATCGTTCACCAATGCTAGCAAATAGAACAGAGTCGTTTTCAATGACTAGCTTAACTCTTCTAGAACTGCAGTGCTATGAGAATTTGTGTGTCTAATTACTCATTTGGCTGTGAATAATATCCATAATTTATTGGCACTTTAAAAGAAAATGCTGTTGAAATATTGATAGCTCGTTTGATATTTGATAATTTGTACAATATCTATCTATAACTATGACATATAAATACAAGTAATAAAATAAATGAAAAAAATTAAAATTTAAATAGAGCCTTAAAGAAAATATGTTTGCTTCATCAAATAGGGCTAGCTAAGATACAGAAGGACGTATAAAAATGTATAAAGAAAGGAGAAATGAAATAGCCAAATATCAAGAATTGTTAATTATTACATTAAAAAAAAAAATAATAATAATACATTTGAAATGAATTTAAAATGATGTTTTGAAATATATATAGTAAAACAAAAAATAAAACAATCAAAGAATTCTGTATTGCAATGCTCCGTTAGACGACAATCAGAGCTCTGTTCAATTTTTGTTTAAGGAGAATATATGGTAAAGAAGCAGAAGAAGAATGTATATTAAACAAATTGATTTCATACATAAATATTAAATTAACTTTTTAGTGTAGTATATCATGTCAGAAAATTAGCAAAAATTTATAAAGATATATGTTGATCTCATATAGAAATATTAAATTTATAATTCGGATATGTATATATATCAAAAGTCAGTTCGATTTCAGCACATATTTCCCATATCAGACTCTAGCATCGCATTAGTAAGCCGTTCTGCTGGCCCCTAAAAAAATTGCCCACCTGGATAGCATACATATGTATATGTATGCCCACCTGGTGGGCCTTGCCCTTGTCTCTGTCGTGCTGCCCTATCAAATGTTCCATCTCTATATTTAGCTATTGCTTTGCCTGCGGCAATCACTCGATCTCGATGCGAGCCAAGTGAGATTATGACAACTTAATAGCTACAAAATCTCGAAAACAAATAGAGCAGGCACACGCACTCACACGCACACACACACATATATATATATATATATATATATAGAGATGCGCTGCAACAACATCAAGTGAACGCTTGGGCCGCCAAAAGTCAAACAGAGAAGAGCATAAATGATAGACGCGCTTGTAAGCACAACAACAACAACAACAACAGCACCACTAAGCTAAAAACAATTGAAGTTGGCTGGCGAACGATGATGATGATGATGATGTTGCTGATGCTGATGATGATGATGATGATGAGATCGCAATGATTTGGATCTCGAAGTCGATGCGCTGATGACTGGAGAGATCTAAAGAACTCAAACTCAAACACCTTTCAAGCGTGCAGAGCGCGTAACCACACAAGTTGCCAACAGACAACAACAGCAAACACCACCACCACTAACAACAACAAGAGCAGCAGCAGCAGCAACAACAATATTAAATACCAACAACAACAAACACGGGGAGTTTTGGTTAAGCGGAAAATAGCCGAGGCCGATATGACGATGATGCTGCCGATGTGGCCAACTCGTTCGACACTTTTTGGTTTTTGAAGTTGAAGTTTGCCTGCCAGCAACAACAGCAGCAGCAGCAGCAGCCCGAGCAGCAGCAGCAGTCTGAGCAGCCGTTGGCAGCATGCAGCAACGCCAGCAGCGCAGCTGTCGGCAACTTGAAACAACTAAACAACTTCAGTCTGCCTCAGTCCCAGATCCCAGTCCAGGCAACTCACAACTGGCAACTGGCAACAGGCAACACTTGGCCGCGACGTATCTTTATTTTGCTTTCACACAGCCAGAAGAAGCGACTCCAAGTGTGCCCCTATTGCAGTTTGTTCTTGTTGTTGTTGCTGTTGTTGCTGTTGCTGTTGCTTGTGCTGCTGTTGTTGGTGTCGTTATAGGCCTCAATGGATTTTCAGTGATTTTTTTCTTTGATCAAAGTGCCCGGTTTGATGGTAGCCACTGACAAGTGGTTGAAATTTCCCATACCCAACCCAGAGCCACGCCAATCTCAGCCATAGTCCAGTGCTCTCAGCTGTGCGATACACTAAAATTCGAGAATGCTAGACTATAGGATTCTGTTTGTTAGAAATGTTAGATATACATATAGAGATTTATAAATTAATTTTATTCCAATATGGGCAAGAGAACAAAGAACTATTTTAATCCTAATATTAATCATTATTTTTTGATATAAATTAAAATAAGATCATATAAATAACTATAAGCTATTATTTATATACATTTTTTTTATTATTATTTATATTTATATTTTTAAATTTTTTCTATTATTATTTTTTATTTGTATATGTATATATTTTTTCTTTCTATAATTATACTTTTAGAATATTTTTATTATTAATATTTATATTTATTTATTTTTTGAAGAGGGCAGTTGAATTCAATTGTTCAATTTCTATTTGTTAATTAAATATTTTCGTTCTATAAAGTTAATTATATTTTAAATAATTTTATAATTTAATTGAGAATATAAAAAAATATTTTAAATTTTTTATAAATGCTTATATAGTAATTTTAAAATATTTATAAATATTTTAATTAAATTACCAAAGCAGGTAAATTTCATTTATACAACTTTCATATAGATTTCTTTCTAATTGGATAGAGTATTTGAAATTCGTCAACTCTTCGATTGGAATACCTTTCCCTCTTGTTTTCTATGTAAATAGACATTCACAATGGATGCAACTGCGTTTGATTGACTCATTTTCGTGAGTCGCCGTCAGTTCCCAGTTGCCCCCCTGCAGCGGGCCGGGGGCCGTTGCGAGGTGCCACTGACTGCGCCGAGTGCGTTGCTGTGTAAACAAATCAACGACTTAAACCACTTGTCAACATGCGAGTGGCAAAGTATTTAAACAAAGCGTTGACAACTGAATGAATGGCCGTTCGCTCGCTCAGTTGGTCAACAGATCGCGTTTGGGCCGCGTCTTTCGGGCCGCGCTGGCCAGTCCCAGTGCCAGTGCCAGTGCCAGTGCCACTGCCAAGTCAAGTGCTGTTGTGGCTGGTCAGTTTTCAATTTACGCGCACAAATATTTGTCCACAGAATGCCTCAGCGCAAGTGCTGATCTCTTGTGCACACAGCCGGACAAAGGGGTAGCCGCTGCAGCAGCGGCTGGAGCTGCTGCGGCTGGGGTTGGCAGCGTTTGATGTGGGCGGCGGCGTTGACAATTGATTAGCCAGCCAGTCAGCCGGTCTAAGGCAGGCAGCCGGCGGCGGCAAATGCCACCAAAAAGGTGTTGGCATGAGCTAGAGCCAGCCCAGATCTGGTCTGGTCTGGTGGGTGCGGTTCGACTCGAGTTCGTGCTTGTGCCTGTGCTTGAGCTCAACGTGGGCGGGCGCCGCATGCTGCTTTTTGGCACCTTCTTTATATTTATTTTCCGTTTGTCATTTCACAATTAGCAAATTAACATGCACCACTGTGCGCAGGCGCCGCCTTTTAGCAAAAAAAAAAACACACACACACACACCCATAAAATATCATTTGAGCTCTTGGAATAATCATCTGCCGTTGGAATGCGCTGTTCGGCGTTCGTTCCCAGGCTCTGGGGCATGCGCATGTCCAATTGCCGGCAGGCTGGCTAATAATTCAGGCATATTTACTATTTGACAGCCATTTAACCAGCTAAAAGCCCTGGGAGCCACGACCTGCCGTCCACAAAGACAAAGGCGACATCAATCTCTTGGTGCTTGCGACAGCGTTTAACTTAATTACGGCTCAAATAGGCGTTGCCACTCGGACGCGCACATGACCATGTCCATGTCGAGGAGCAGGCTTCAGCTTTGCTAAATCACGTGCCCAGGCTGTGGCTAAAATGGACTCGACTGTGAAAAGTCCGAGTCTGCTTAGAGCTATGCCACAAATTTATGTGACATTAGATGAACATGTTTTGAAGCCAATTTAAGTGTGTGTGAGTGTGTGTAAATGTGGCCATAACTACAATTTAATAGGGTATGTGTTGTTGCCACCAGTCGGGAGCTTGTCAGCATGTAAATGCTCGAAAGTCTATAATTTTTGGTTAATTCGTCATAAATCCTTCTAATGCAGCAACGAAAAACATCTCGATGAGTATTAAATGTATGCCAGAAAGAAATCTAATATTAAATATTAATCTAATATTAAAATCCAACAATAAAATAGTCTAGTACTAGCTAGCATCTAAAGGGCATACAGCAGTCGACCAAAGTATCAGCTCAATCACTTTGTTTAGAATCTGAGCTGAGCTTTATTACATTTTACTCATAGAGCGTACTCAACGCAAAGGTTCCATGAACTCGCTTTGATTATCTCAGCTGACATCCCCATCAAATCACTCAAATCTGTGAGCTCTATTGGATGACAAGAACATTTGCTAGTTAACTTGGCCCAGGCACAGTGAGAGAGAGAGAGAGCCAGGGACGGTGCCCGGGACAGGGCCAGGGTCTAGGGCCTCTCTTGTCAGTCCTTCAACTTGACCCATGTCTGTTTTGTCGCATTTCGCTTTGTCTTTCGGTTCTTTTCTTTTGTCCGCGGTCATGCGTTTTAATTATGATGCAGCGTTCGAGGCACGCATCTGTCAACGTGACAGAGGCGCAAAGACAAATTAACAAAATAAACAAATTGCATGAGTTTTAATTAAAAAGCAAGCAGAAGAAGCGGCCCGCGCCCGTGCCAAATGCGACGAGCACTCGGCTCGGGTAACTAGCTCGAGTGATCCCAGCGTATCTCTCATCTCGATCGCATCTCACTTGGCAAGTGCCGAAAGCTGTGACCAGCCGCCCGCCCACTCTTCCCTCCCATCGGGATGCCAGAGTCTTTCATAATCAAGTCGTCTGCATTAAATTTTGGCAATTGGCCGAGTTGTACGCTCGTTAGCCAGCGGCTAACTTAATCACATATTGGGGCTGTTGTATGTGGGAGGCATATACTTATACTTAATCTAGTCTAAGTGCTCTGGCCATCTCAGCAAGTGTGCCAATTTTCGATGGCTTTGCTCCACTGACACGGAGCACGCGGCGTATGCGCAATGTTGTTGATGCCGCCTCCCAGAGCGACGATGTTGGAGCAACAAACGCAGCCAACACACAGCTTGAGACTAAGTGCCCACTGCCACACACTGAATGATCTGCATGCGTGTGTGTGTGTGCTGTTTAACCCATTAAAGCCCTGGCGGGTTTTAATAGCCATTTCGCATGCTGTGAGTGCCAAAAACCGACTATGAATGAACCCTCTGAATGAATGAGTATTCAATTCAAATCAAGTATGTACATGTGTATGCGTGTGTGTGTGTGTGTCTTATTGAATGAATGAATGAATAGCAGGAAACTAGCAACCAAAAATAGACCGAACCAATACCCGAATGCAAATGTCAAGCGAATCAAGTGAACGGAAATGAGCTCATTTTATTCGAAATCAAATTGTTATTCATAAATTATGAGATTTTCATCATTTTGCAGCTCTGTTTTTAATTAAATTCCAGACAGCATTCAGCTGCGAATTTGCTGTAAGTTCGCTGTAATTGGTTTCGGCTGCTGTGGCCAATGGAATTTCCATTCATTTAACGCCACATCGTGCTGCACGTCTGCCCCACTCATCGATTATCATCTGAATGATCGTTTGATTTAGTGCATTTGGCTGGAAAATAACGCATACAAAACATCTAAGCAGCCGAGTAGATCTTTCGGTCTATAAAACCAGACACAGAGAGAGAGAGAGAGAGAGAGGGAGGTAGAGGGAGAGAGAATAGGTGAAGAGAGAGAGAGAGAGAGAGAACGAATTGCAAAAATTGCAAAATTTACAGATTTCTATGGATCAATGTAAACAACGATAATTATCCTTATCGAAGACTGTGTTTTTATTGAATGTCAGGGTTATTTTATGAGAATTCCAAAGAAATTTCTTTATAAAGTACATGTACATAGTACACATTAATACAATATAATAGTGTTATACTAAATTAAACAAACCAAATGCGTATGTTAAAGACTTAAACCTACGCTTCATTTATATGTTAGTATTTCTTTGGAATCCATATAATCCAGAATTTAATATTCTCTTGATAGCCGACCAGCCTCTTATGCTCATAATCTTTCCTTTAAACTTATGGCTCGACAAATTCGCATTCGACATTTTTGTACGTTAACAGCAATGTCATTATGATCTTCGTCATAATCATCATCTTCATCATTATCAACATGAACGAGATCAAACGTCTGAGCTTGAGCTCTAATTATTTAATTAATTTATTGCGATAGCTCTCAATTGAATCGAATGGATCTATATAGGCACAGTTGTCCACCCGCCACGCCCACAGCCCCCGCCTCCAGCCCTAGCGTTAACGCTTTAATGTTGCAGGTGGCCTCTTTTGGCGGTGGCGGCTGCTGCGCCCAGTTGCACACAACTCAAATAAAATGAATGAGCGGACTCTCGCGATCGTCATGCAGTCTACGCCACGCGACGCCCACGCCGCCCAGCCCAGTGCCCCTGTCACGCCCCCCAACAGAGATCGCCCGACTGTGTACATGGCATGACAAATGCCTGCGCCAAAAGTCGAGGCATTGCGATCGTCGCTGCCGCTGACAGCGACAATTTTTCTACCCCTGCGGGCAGCAGATTTCGATTCATTGATGCCACTTTGCTGGCAAACACTTTTTGGCAAAGTGGCATAGCCTATGCACCGGCCTAGCCTTTCTGCCCCACCGCCCATCGTCCATCTGTGCTGGCTTTGCTGTGCGACACTTTTCATTCTATTTGATGTCTGCTCCCATCATGCTATTCATTTATTTTGTCTCATTTTATTTATCTTGGCCTGTAATTTCGCGCATAAATTCAAATGCTGCCCGGCTCGAGGTGTCACTCGGGGCGGGGGGGTGTTTCTTTTTTATTTATTTTGGCTGCACTTTTAGCTCTTTCACTACCCTCGGCACATAAAACGTTGTAAAAGGGGTATAATTGGATAACTGTGTCTTATTGGATTCCAATTGGATTCGAATGCATTTACATATATGATATATGAAATGACTATAATGTTAGTTCGTTTAAATAGTTATATGATTGTACTTAAGTATTTGAGTAGATTAACAATAAGAAAATATTGTCATATTCTAGTTTTTCTTCGTATTGCTATAGCTCTGCAATATTATATATCTATTATCTATCTATCAATTTCTGAAATATATCATATTGCACATCTATCTAGACAACTATATAATAATCTCTTTAAACTCTGCCTAATATATCTAATTCGAATGTAAATTCGAACTAACCGAATAATCAATAATAATATCGATTTAAATTGCTTCTACTAAATTAAAATATTGCCATCTGCTCAAAATAATTGATATCTCCTAGTGCATCACTCCCTTTAGGACAGTTTTACTTGTTTACGGTGAAAAAAAAAAATTGCCATGTAATTAAATCTAAATCAAACGTCACATTTTGAAGGTCCCTCGCTGGCAACATCGTTCGCTCGCTCGCTCGATTGGCTCTGGCCGAATTTTCGCTTTTGGCTTTGGCTTTGACTCACCTCAAAGCGCGTAGCGCTCATGTCGCATGCAATTTCTACCTATTTCGATTCACTTTTTGTTGTCGTCAGCAAACGGCGACAGCAGCAGCAGCAGCAGCAGCAGCAGCAGCATATGTACGCCAAATACCCCCGCCCTATGCCCCAATGGCCCGATAGCCCGATAGCTATACGGCCATACCCAATACCGGAAACGGTTACGCCAATCTCTCGAGCTTATGTATTGATGAGATCTGACACAGTGAAGATCAGCGTTTGTAATGGGGCTTTTGGCATTGAATTTGACGCAACTGAAACATATATTTTGCTTCAATGGGTTTGCC